CACCTACAGGAACAGTTCCACCTACAGGCATCTACCCTTGAGGAATACTCATGTGAGCACACAGGCATATGGAAGGATGTTCTCCACATGTTGTGAGCAGTGGAAAACTGCTCACGACTGGAAACTACAGAATTCCCCATACTATGAAACGTTAACATACTGTATCTCTTACAGAGCAAGTAAAATAGGTTGGTCTCTATATATGGACGAATAATATAGCTCAAGACCCATTTTTAAGCACAAAATAGCAAGTTGCCGGATATGCACCATATGCCATATCTGTAAAACTATGTACTGTAAAAGATTAATATGAAATCTTACATGTACCTCATATGCACACATTTGTCAATGAATGTAAAGAAACAATGAATGTAAAGAAACATGAATGTAAAGAAACACAACTCGGACCAGTATCAGTTCTTATAAAAAAGGGATGGGAAAAATATGCACCAAAGAGGATCTTTCTGGTTTAAATCATTTACACGATGTTTTTACAAGACAAAAAGCAAAGACTGCAACTAAAACGGATATTTTAAAATATATTTTTAAAACACACTCAATTTGGCCATATGTAACCATTTCTTCCTCCACTAAATCTCTTTCCTCCCACTTTCTAATTTAGATAATTAACAAAACCTGGGGCTGTCGAGGTACCTCTGTTAGAGCCTCCAGGGGCGCCGAACTTATGGCACGCGTGCCACAGAGGGCTGTTTGTACCATGGAAAGCACTAAAAGGTTCGCCATCACTGAAAGCACATCCATAGGCCCTGGGTTCAACCCCTGTATCACAAAAACAGAAAACAAGGCACCCACAAACTTTCAGCTGTCATTCCTTATATAAAGCACACAGGTAGTTTTGTGTTTTCGATGAGCGGGCGTATCAAGGAGTCTGAGTATAAAGGCTTGGGTTGATTTGTATTTTAAGGAGCAGGTGTCCCTTGTGTAATAACTAAGGATGAAGACTCCCGTCCTGATGTACCCCACGAATGTGAAAAACCAGAATGGCACGGGGCGAGGCCCGGGCAGCGGGTGGGGCCAGGCTGGAGGGCAGGGAACCGAACCCCCGCGGGGTGCGGGAGCCCCGAGCGCTGTTCTTTGCGTCCACGACGGCCCGAGGGCTGGGCGGATGCTCCTACAGACAGAGCGGCCGGAGGGCGCGGGGACCACAGGCGGGGGAAGCCTCTCTGCCGCCACGTCCCGGCGCGAGGGGCGAGGAGGCCGCGCCCGAGGGCGGGACAGGAGCAGGACCAATTCGCTCGTGGAGGGCCGGAGCCCGGCAGTCGGTCGCCCCCGCACACCTCGGTACCACCCGCATCGGCACCGTGCTCGGGAAACCCGTCTGCGCCGCGCATAATCCCAGCGAAGGCTCCGCCTGCCCCTGAGCTTCACTTACCTGCACCTTCAGACCCGGCCTGAACACCTGCGGCGCCTCGCTCGGAAAAACTGGAACCTCCGTGACCGCCTGCGCGCACCCACCCGGATCCACTGGGGCCGTAACCACTTCCGGTCCGGCGGCAGCCGAGGAGGACGTCGCCCCAGCTGTAGTGTGCGTACGGGAGGAGCCATCTTGTACGGAAGCCGCTGGGACAGTTAGTACCTCCCCGGTGTCTCCCCTGTTGAACGAAAGGACCTGTTAAAATTTGGAAGGCTTAACGTCTCTTCACAAAAATGGTGTTTTTATCGCTTCTCGGCCTTTTCGATAAGATCAAGTGCACAAAAATGGTGTTTTTGTTTCTGCGATGGCATTTTTGTCTCTTCCCTTTGGTTTAGAATGCTTATAGAACCCTCCCAAATACAGTGTAATTTTCATCCTGTATTACCTTGGGTAGTGTTTCTCTACTACATTCATTTTCTTCACAATTAAATGATGACAGTAAATAAAAGGAGAGACTGTATTTAGCTCATGTATTCTTCATTAGCAGAGCCTATTATCCTATAACCTTTAATAATTTATGCCATCTTCTGTAACAAGTATAATAGCTTCTGTTCATACATTAAGTCATTCAGTCTTTATTAGCAGCTACTATTTGTGAGGCAGCTACTGTGTGCTTCCTGCTGTTTCTTTGTCAGGGAATGTCTACAAGAAAAGGAGAAATGAGATGTGCATAAATAATATAAGGGCTAGGCATGGTGGTACTTGTCTGTAATCGCAGCACTTGGGAGGCTGAGGCAGGAGAATTACCCTGAGTTCGAGGTCAGCCTGACTCTGTCCCAAAAACAAAATAATCAATATAAGGTATATGTGCTTGCTCAGTATGTTAGGAACTTTTATTTATTTATTTATTTATTTATTTTTGAGATGGGGTCTCACTGTATTACCCACACTGGCCTCCAATTTGTGATCCTTCTGCCTCAGCCTCTCCAGTAACTGATTACAGACATACACACCTATGCCTAGCTTTCAGCATGCTAGGAAGTTTGTGAAGCATTTTAATTGTTTAATGGCAATTAACCCCCAAATAGCCCCATGAGGCTGTACTATTACTAGTACTACTGTATGTGAAAAAAAAAAAGGAGTGAAATAACTTTCTCAAGGTACCTCAGCAAGTAAACGTTGCCACTAAGAATGAAACCTCAGCGCAAGGTCGTGAGTTCGGTTCCCGGTACCGGAGAAAAACCAAAAAAAAAAAAAAAAGAATAACTTTCTCAAGGTACCTCAGCAAGTAAACG